CCCCCCCTTTTTTTTTTTTTTTTTTAAATTTCAGCAAATAAATTCTAGTCTCATCTTTTTTCTTATATCAGCTCTCAAAGGCAGATCAGGAAGAATCTGAATGCCCATTACAACAGAATACACGTAATTATAGAAACACAATTCCTGAGGGCTCAGTAAGCAGAAATACGAATACCTAACTTGAACTCCCTGTAAAGAAGGAGAGATGCTGGCATTTCTTGCTGGTGCTAAGTCTCCCAGCCAGGTCCTGCCCAATGATTTCTTCTAAGTACACAAAGAAAAAGGCCAAGCAAAACAAAACCACACAAAAAACAAGTTGGATTTTCCTATCAAGACAGGAACTTTTGATTCTTTTTGATTCTTTTTGATTCTTTTCATGTTTACTTCTTAGTGCTTTTAGGGAGTATTTGTTGAGTGAATAATAAATGCAGCTAAAGTCATTGTTGAGACTCAAATTTTGCATAAGGATTTAATAAGATGGTAGTTAGGCTTCGCTGCTAAGAATGATAGTCAGAAGGCCACCTTTCACTTATTGATTATTTAATGAGATCCTATTATTTGCACAGAATTATACAAAAAAATGTAACATGTGGTCATTGCTTTCAAGATACTTGAAAACTAGGGGTCTAGAGGAAATACAAAGCAAAAACTGAACAAATGGAAGCATATAAAACAGGGTATTTAAAATGTAGAACTTGCTGTATTTTGAAAGTATAAAATAAACATAAATGAAAAGATTGAAGGTTGATGGCTAATTGAGCACATTTATTTACCCTAAGAGATATTATTATCTGCAATTTAAAAACTAGCAAACATAAGCTGGAATTAAATAATTTTGTGGCACTATCAGGAGTGAGTATTTAGAATTAAATTGGTCTCATTGCCATTATATTAATGGCCATTATCTTAGCACAGCTTGTCCAAATACAGTTAATTTATAAAAAAATTTCTTGGAAGGCAATTAATTCCTGGAAATTTTCAGCTCAATTTAACAGATGTGATACTTTCAACTAAGCAGAATTCTCAGATAGTTGTAGTTTAACTGATCTTGGTAATATATAAAATGGAAAATAACATTCTAGTATTTTTAAGATGGTGTTTTAAAATATACAATTAACCCTTGAACAACATGGGCTTGAACTACGTAGGTCCATTTATTTGCTGTTCATATGCTGAGTTTTAAATAAATACTGTCAAAGTGTGTTCCCCTTCCTTATGATTTTTTTAATAACATTTTCTTTTCTCTAGCTTACTTTATTGTAAGAATATAGTATAAAATACATATAATAAACAAAATATATGTTAATTCACTGTGGGGTGTTGCTTCAAATAACCTTTTTTAAAATGCAAGTAGGTAGACAATTTTTAGCTTACCTCCATATGATAGCAAAAAATGTACCAAAATTAGAATCAAAGACACAAATCAATTTATTGTTTTAGAGAAATTTTGAAGAGTCTTGGTTACAAAGTTGGTTCTCAATGCTTTTAAGTTGTCTATTTCTTAGGTGGTTGTAGTTGGCTTGAATTTTAGTCCTAGCTTTGTTTACCATCTGCCCGTTGATTTTAGGCCTCATACAGCTCATTAAAAAAATAAAAGAAATATATTGTCATGTGCCAGGCAATGACACATATATATTTCCCACATATGTAGTGGGAAATCAGATAGAACAGATGTGTTCTCTTCCTTCATGCAGTTTATGACCTAACTTTAGGTTCTTTGCTTAAAAAGTGAAGAGATTGAACTAAAAGGTCTCTAGATACTTTGATCTTTTACTAGGCTAGCACAAAGGTAGCAGATGGACCAGAGAGAGAATTCTTGTGGGCTTCTTCTACCTTCTGAGATTTAAAGGAACAAATATGCAAATTTCTTGAGAAGGCTCTTCTTAAAATTTGCTATGGAAGATATATTAAACTCTTTGGATTATTGCTTCTCTTACCTCTTTATCTTACCCTTGGAATGGCTAATAAACAAAGTCAAAATGTTTCATAACATTTAAACTCCTTCACAAAAGCTTGTACCACAACTTTAAAACAAATCTATTTGTGTATCTATATCAGGTATTAAGCACCTCTTCCAAGTGTGCCATTCAATCAGGAAATTAACACAATCAAGCATGATTAACATTTTAGGAATCTCAGTAGAGATTTAAGAATCCAAATGCATAACTGTGATGCTCAATGCCAACAGAAAACCATATTCTACCTTCCAAGTGAAAACATGCTCCATTGTCCTATTCAAAGGAGATGAAAACAACATCAAACCCTAAAGTTTTATACTCTTGGTTTAATTATCTCCCAAAGAGCTCCTGAGTCTTTGTCTGCCAAGAGAAAGCCTTTACTGGAGATCTGTTTATTTTGTTAATTACTATACTTTGATTTCAGGAACAAGTCTTTATTCCCTTGTTCTAAGCAAGTGATTTTTTCTCTTCCAGAAGACAAGATTTTGGTGAAGCAGTCCCCCATGCTTGTAGTGCACAACAATGCTGTCAACCTTAGCTGCAATTATACCTACAACCTCTTTTCAAAGGAGTTCCGGGCATCCCTTTATAAGGGAGCAGACAGTGCTGTGGAAGTCTGTGTTGTGAATGGAAATTACTCCCATCAGCTTCAGTTTCGCTCAAAAACAGGATTCAACTGTGATGGGAAATTGGGCAACGAAACAGTGACATTCTACCTCTGGAATTTGTTTGTTAACCAAACGGATATTTACTTCTGCAAAATAGAGGTCATGTACCCTCCTCCATACATAGACAATGAGAAGAGCAATGGAACCATTATCCATGTGAAAGGTAACATGCGACTCTGTTAATGGACTGCTCTAAAGTAATGGTTTTCAACTGTAGCCTTGAAAACTAGGTCATGATTAGTGGTATTGGATAAGTTCCAAAGAGGAAAGACCAAAGGGGAAGTCTGCACATTCTAAGCTAGTGGTAATTTGCATATTTTGATCCCTCTCACATTCTTCCATAATGTTCAGAAGGAAGGAAATGTACTCAAGTGCCACTCTCAAATCATTTAATCCACTCTATTCTGTTTTTCAGAGAATCAGCTTTGTCCAGCTCACCGAACTCCGGAGTCTTCTAAGCCATTTTGGGCACTGGTGGTTGTTGGTGGAGTCTTGACTCTGTATAGCATGCTAGTAACAGTGGCTCTTTTTACTTACTGGGTAAGAGAAGCAGCACTGCTTTTATGTCAACTTTTCTACCACACATGTGATCTGATCATATTCAAGAATTTTGCCTATGTAGTTTATTTTCTGTTTAACAGAAATTTTATTATTGCCTTTTTCCTTGCTAGGTTTAAGTAGGTTCTCTTTTAGCCTGTCCAACTTTATCTGAGATAAAAATCTGATGGGTGTTCTGTTTTCCAGAAGGCACTGGTTAGGTGGCCAAAAAGAATAAAAAGCTAAATGCTTAAATTAGGGTAGGGGTATCATTTTGATATATAAAATAGTTTTAATGTGTACATAAGTATAAAAATCTAAGCAACTTGGGAATCTAGACAACTAAAGTCAATGAACAACTTTGGTTCAGGGTCAAAAATCATGAGAAATTTGGCTTCTGAAATTAAGTATTCAAACCTAGCAAGGAAACTAGGTCTGTTTATCTGAGTCATATTTTTATCTCCTCAGAAGCAGTTGAATTTTGTGAGGCCAAGTATGGTACTGTCATTATGAAACTGTAATGAGAATTAGACTTTTCTGAGCTCTCATCACTGAATTGGAGTTCACCAACTTTTGCAAATACTCAGGCAATAAACTTGGTATATATATTTTTTACCTTCCTCAGCATTGAATGAGATTTGAGGACATCATGATGATCATGTCTACTGTTAAGAAGGGAACCTCCTTATCAAGGACCTTTCCCTTACTCAGAGACTTCCTGTTCTTATATACACATTGGGGCACAGAATAATCATGTATTAATTCCATTTTGTCTTTGAAATGTTTTTTATAAGTTAGATGCATCTTGTTGAGTCATTCCTTCAACAAGAAATGCATGCTCCTTAAGGATAAAGGACTATTTCTTTTTATATTCACCATCTACCTAGTATTAAGTATATTTAATGCTTAATGAATGCTTAAACTCATAACCTCCATGGAGGCAAAACTGAGGACTTAAATAAACATGCCTGAAGTATAACACCCATCTTCAAGGCATACTCCACTCATTTAACTAATTCATACATGGGTTAGAGATTTCTGGAAGCCATGCCATGTGAAGCCATCCTATTTACAATAGTCTTGGTGCTGGGAGGGGCTGGGCAGCCATGGATTCACAGTCATGCCAATGATAGATACAACGTGGGACGATGTTAATCTCTTGTCGGCCTGTTGCCAAAGTTTGCCTCTCTTTTGTTCTGTTCCCGACATACTTCTCCTTTTCAGAAGACACTTGGGGTATTCTGGGCACTGGTCATGCTGCCTGTTGCCTAATCTCTACCTTCTGCCGGGTAGGGAACAAAGTGGCCACTTGTTCCTGGAAATGCTTTATACTAGATATCACCTTGAGAATTTGCCTGCCTTGCCTTCTTCAAGTTTCCTAAGCCTCCTGGGGGCTTTTTATGTAGTGAAATATTGTCTAAGTTCTACCTCTAATGTTAGCTGAGTCCCTTTATCTTTCTGGATCTTGGTGTCTTCATCCAAATCTTTTCCAGCTTTAAACCACTGTGGTGTTTGCTAATGATTTTAGAATTTAGACTCTTAATTTTTTTTTCTTTTTCTTTTTTTTTTTTTCCTGACCCCATTGGGAATCTCAACTTCTTAACTTTATTTAAAAGCCATGTGCAGTTGCCCTAGCCGATTTGGCTCAGTGGTTAGAGCATCAGCCCTCAGACTGAAGGGTCTCTGGTTTGTTTCCAGTCAAGGGCACATACCTGGGCTGTGGGTTCACTCCCCACCCCTGGTCAGGGTCAAGGTGCGTGTAGGAGGCAATCAGTCAATGTGTCTCTCTCACATTGATGCTTCTCTTTCTCTCTTTCCCCTTCCACTCTCCCTGAAAGCAATGGAAAAAATATCCTCAGATGAGGATTAAACAAAAAAGGCAAGGTGCACCTGGGTACCCTTCCAGGGTAGGTGCTCCCCTGTAATATGCTGACGTAGGTCAATGTAATTTACTAGCTTTGCAGGAAGTAGTTTGGGGAACTGCTTTAACTTTCAGCAGCAAAAGGGTGCTGATCATCATTTAAAATTTATTGTAAATATGCAATAGAATATCAGTTACTATAATCACACACTAATTTGCCAAGTGACTCAAATTAACCAAAGGGACAAAAGTAGCTTCTCATTTTCAAGGAGTTTTAACAGTTTACTTTCAACTCGGAAACAACATAGACACTATGGGTTTCTCTTTGGCAGTACTACTAATTCCCAGTGGGGTTCATCTTGTTTTGTTTTGAAAAAACTTATTTTACTTATTTTACTCTTATTCTGTCCCACAGGATCCCTATAAACTGGGAAGTTCCAGTGCTTCGTTATATCTTACCATCTGTGGCCTCTTATAGTCAATTTGGTTACCCCATAACTATCCTTTATTTGCAATCAGACCTAGCTAGGTCTTTGTATTCTTTGACCAAAAGAGTGTGAAATAAACATATACCTATATTTCATAGACTAATTCAGCATTTTTACCCTGGGATGATCTTTTCTTGCTGCTGTTACTGTTTAAGCAGCTAGCACCTTGCTGAGATAGGCAACTAGGCCATTAGGGATCCCTACAGTTTAGCCATTTCCTAGGTACTTTTATGGGATCCTATTTTTGGCTGGTCTGCACTGTGCCTTGGTATAAGTTGCTGTTTTCCGGAACTTCCTGAGGGCTTGTGACGTGCTACCGTAGGCAGTTCTAGGCTGAGTGGGTTTCTGGGAGCAGCTGCAGATTCTATCTCAGTTCTTGACCTATTGCTGACATTTGAATAAATAAAGAGCTCCCCTTGGCGAGGCTGCCACAGGCCAGCACCTGTTACTCTCACTCTCAATTCTCTATTCACTAAATTGCCTTGTGTATGCCTTGTGTCTTGCTGCTGCTTCCAGGAAACAAGTGGGTAAGGGCTGCACTGAAGGGAAGGGCAAGGGAGGTGGGTCCTGAAATGATACACCTTTCACAGACATTTAATGGTGAAGGGGCAGAGTAGGTGACCTAGTCACATAGACACATGAGGTGAGTACTCTGCAAACATATATGCATATGCTGGATGCACATGGACACTGTGAATTCTGTATAGTGTTTCCGGTCATGCATGTGTCATTTCCATCTTACTGTTGTGTTTAGAGTTAGGGTGATGATGATTAAATCCACCGTCTGATAACACAGTGAGAATAAGCATGGGAATTGATTGCAGCAGATCTTTCATAGTTTTTGCGTGCAACCTGGAGAACCCAGAAACATCTTCATTATTGGGCCCTCCCTACCCGCTATAGTTTTGTTTTGGTGTCTGGAGACAAAGACTGTTATTTGGGAATCTGGCAAGGGGAGTCTTCAGGGTTGGAATAAGTACTAAAATGCTTGGCAGGGTATCATCAGCAACTTTCCACACTGATTTGGAGGCAGACATTTCCATGTCCTTATTCCTGTCCTCTGTGCCCAAGAGAACTCCTATGTTTCATTTACAGAAAAGATATAGAATCAAGATGTTTGAAGAGCAACTTCCTTCATGCACTTGGTTTCCATGACTACCTTTCCCTGAATGAATTTTCCAATTATGTGTGTTTAATGCTATCCTCTTCTTAGTTCCAGCTAGATAACCCATCCATCATCTCAAGTCCCAAATGACTAAAGCAGAATTTATAACCTCCTTCAAATACACTTCTCCTACTGCTTTATATCTATCTATGGATGAAACACTATCCTTCAAGTCACCCGGGCTAAAGTCATCAGTCACCTTTGGGTATGAGCAAGAAGGAGGAGTCAAGCAGTCTGACAATACTCATGTTAATTTGATGATACATTTTGTATCCATTGCTTCCTTTTCATTCCTTTTTTTTTTTTTTTTCCATAACCAGACTCTAGATTAGAATGTCTCAGTCTTGGCACTATTGACATTTGGGGCTGGATGATTCTTTGTTATTGGGGGCTGCCCTATGCAATGTAGAATATTTAGCAGCATCTCTGGCCTCTACCCACTAGATGCCAGTAGCATTCCTCCCAGATGTGACAACCCAAAATGTCTTCAGACATTGTCAAATGTCCCATAGGACAGGAAATAAGGGAGCTGGAGGTAACAAGAATGAGGCTTGGGAGGTGTGGTTTGGACAACTGTATACATGTAGTGTCACTCATTGAGATGAGAAACCCTGGGAGAGATCCAGAGTTTAGGCGAAGATCTTAAATTTTGTTTTAGATATGTTGAGTTTAAAATGACTTTGAAGTCTAGTCCAGAGATATTAATGTGGGTGAATAGGTGATAATTGAAGCTGTGAATGTTGATATTGCCTAAGGAGAGTGAAGGTGGAGTGAATAGAGGAGAGGCCTAAAACAAAGCTGTGAGAAACTCTAACAGTGAATGGCTAGTTAGTGAAGGATGAGCTTGCAAAGGAGGCCAGAAAGCATGGTCAGAGAGGCACAATCAAATCCTGGATGGTACCATCTCATAGAACACAAAGTGGAAGAGTATTTCAAAAGGGAGAGAAAAATCAAGAATAAAGAATGCTGCTGAGAGTCAAGAAAATGAGGGCTGAAAACACATTAGTCATATTTAGTAATGTGGAGGTCAGTGTTTCTCCAACCTTTCTTTAACACTTACACAGGCTCCTTTGACAAGGAAGGTGTGAAATGCTCAGGTAGAAGTGCATGGAAATAAGGCCAGGGCTGAAGTCATCTGCCTACTTATTTACGCAGGTGTTCATATCATTCATGTCCAGCAGATTTACTTATGCATTAGGCTTATGTGCCAGGAAATAGGCATTTTTTTTTTCCATAATAGAGAAGTCTGAATCCAGAAATCTGGATGGCTTTCTATTTTTAGAATTTTATGGGTCTTTTATCAAATATATAAATTTTTAGCATCATATTGATCCAAAGAAGATGCTCCTTAATCCAAACTTTGCTAAGATTCATGGAAGCATCATTCTTGCTCTAGGTTAAGTATTGTCCTACTTTTCTCACCCCTTGCAGAAATTCATTCAGAGGGAGCTGAGCCTGAAGATTAAAAATGAGTGGTTCTTTTGTCTTTATGGAAATGTAAATATATGTAAAGGAAGAGAAATGTAACTAGTTGCCTAGAACAATCTTCCCATTAATTTGGAATCCACTGCTATGAATTTATGATTACTCCAGACTCTGAAGGGCTGAAGGTCCTCTTTGGTTAATTATGGAAAAATAGCTTGTTGAGCAAATGACTAAAGTAAGAAGATTCCAGCTGGGATGCTTAACCTTTGCATGGGAGGAAGGGCCTTCGAGAGTACTTATATATCAACAGCAGGTATGTTAATGGGATATGCTTTTGACATTTAGGTTAAATGACTTCTTTGAGAGTAACAGGGGTGCATTTCTCTAAAATACTTTCTTTGGTTCATATTTTTCAAGTCAATTTAGAAGAGTCCAAAGTAGTTAGGTTTAATTAGTCATGATCCAAGTCTAAGGTGTTTAATGAATTCTGCTGTTCAGCCTTCACTTGACAGTCCATGGCCTGAATAGTTGCCCCCAAAGTCTTAGAACTCATCCCACAACATCTCCCTCCATGTCCCTGGCCTTTCACAGTGACGCTTCTCTTTTCTGCAGATGAAGAATAAGAGAAACAGGATCCTTCACAGCGACTACCTCAACATGACCCCCCGGAGGCAGGGGCCCACCCGACAGCACTACTATCCTTATGTTCCATCTCGAGACTTTGCTGCATACCGCTCCTGACACGGACACCTATCCAGATGCCAGCCGGCTGACATCTCTTCACCTGCTCAACACCACTGCTCTGGATAGGAAATGATCGCCTCATCTTCAGCCGGCGACCTCAGGCCCTCCATTAGGCCACAAATACCAATTTTTCTTGACCGACTAGACCAAATAACATCATTTTGAGACTCAAATGAAGTTAAATATTATTACTATAGCAAGCTAAATCTGGTAGTGCCATGATCAAAATTCAAACTTGTTATGTGTTTATTGACTTGATTGAGAGGTTAGGGTAGAAAATAAAAAGTGAGTGAATGCTGTTAGTCTTAAAATCTGCTTACAATTTTACTCCCTTCTTACCCCCCTGCACATGGTGGTCAAGTGAAGTGTGATATTGAAGGACTTTTTAGATGAGAAGAAAGGTTAGAAAATCATTCCCTTTGATTAAATGGGGGTTTAGGGTAGGGATAGGTTAGGGTGGGGGAGGATAGGGAGATTTAAACATTATGAAAACACTCACTCATGAAATGAGCCACTTAGTTCCTATTTAATGTTTTCTTTTTAGTTTAGAAAGAGGTAGACATTGTCTTTGATAAATTCTAGTCATATTTAGTCATTTTGACCAATGGAATATCTTCAAAGCAATGCAAGGCAAACTGACTTGCTTTCCTCGCTCCCTGTGATGGAAATTCAATACAGTCTTCACAATATGATTAAAAAAAAAAAAAAAAGTAGTGTTCCCACCAAGAAAGAATATGTTTGGAAATAAGGCCACTTAATGTTAAAATTATTTAAATACTATGAAAGGTTATTTGTTTGGCAACACATTCCAGTCAGGGGGACTTTTCTGCTCCATATATTTCAGGTTTTTACAGCTGGTCTCATTATCGTCTGCGTGGAGATCTGAAGTGAAATGCTGAATGTACATCCGTAGGAGAAGTGACAATACTGTGAAAAAGGGATGCTAGCATTCATTAGTGTGTGTGGGATGAGTCCCAAGAAACTTGTTCTGAGGAGGGAGAATAGAAGAAAATGATTTGATTTTTGGCATGTGCTGAGGGATTGGCTGATGGAAATTTTCCAGAAGATGGCAGGCAGAAGAGCCCTGATGAAAGCTTCTTTATAGGAACTTCAGTGTTTTAAGGGCTCAGAGCTCCAGAACTTTGTTCAGGTGCCTGTTTACCCTGGAGGTCCATCGACATGGAAAAGTATTTTGGAGTGTGTCTTTTGAGACAGCATCAAAGTTCTCAAGATACCTTGTAAAGCCTGACCCTGGAATGACCATGGACATTTTTCTACCTCCAGTTTGGGTCAACTGGAGTATGCCTGGGGACCTTGAAGAATGGCTCTGCTGCTGCCATTTGTTCAGTGCTTCTATTTATTCAGATGTTAGAGGAGTCTAGGTTTTAGAGGCAGATACACCTAGTTTAAGTCCCGTTGCTAGTTGGTCTGAGGCAAGTCACTGTCTTTTTAAGGCTCTGGTTTCTCAACTATAAAATGGAGATAATGATCACAAATGTCTGTCCCTCAACTGTGATTTCCTTGAAGACATGGCCCTATTTGTCTCTTTTTTCTACTTGTCCCTGATACTTAGTACCATGCCTAACGTAAAATGTTAGCTATCATTATTATTGCCATGTAGATCAATTATGTGTACAAATTAAACTGGGCCATGACCTGAGAAAGGAAAGAATAATATTGTACCCACCATCCAGGGATGAGGTGCTATAAAATTTGGATTATTGTAATAAAATATACACCATTCCACCTCCCACTTTTATGTATATAAAGAGGTTTTCTTTAATTTTTTGTAATGTGGGGAGAGGTAAGAATATTATGATTTCAGACAGAAAATATTGTACTTCGGTTGATTTTTTAGTGATTTTTTAGATCAGTTAAATCCATTCCATGAGTTTAATTGATCTAAAGAAGGCCAAACTCAGCAATATTTGAGTGACAAAGAACGATTGGATTTAAACTGGCACAGGAGCCACAGTGCTGGTTCCTTGGCACACAGAGTTCTGTAATCCAAGTTATCAGATTGGATTTGAAAGTGATAAAGCTGTAGAAATTGTAGAAAGGGAAATGGCAATAAATAAATAAAAAAATGAATAAATAAATAAATAAATAAAATGGAAAGATTTGATCTTTGGCAGTAACTGGTTTTATTTTCTGATGGGAAAAATAGGTTTACTAAAGATGAATCACACTTGAGATTTTTCTTACTCACTTTGAACAGAACCAAAGTGGAAATGTGAACAGGGAAGTCCTTTTTCACTATTAGTATGAACCAAGAAATGGTTTGAGGCTGTGGTTGGAGCCATGTTCCTATAATTTCGGGTGTGGTAATTATGAAGAAAACAATGTCCCTGGCTGCTTTTATTCTAAGAATTTTATACTTACCATTTCTATACGTTTTTATTGTGAGCTTGCTTGTTTTAGTCTGAGTATGCCAGTTCAAAGAGACCAAGTGTACATCATATTCTGTGTATTTAGTGATAAAATTACTAAACTACCATGTGCCTGTTTTTAAATTTGTGCTTTAATATTGTCTTTCAGAGCAGAGAGTCTTCGCTTTTGGCAATGAAACGAGAGAAAACTTGCTATGTTTTAAAAATTGGGGGATAAATCCTTTTCATAAATTGCCAATTTTAACCTTTAAAAAAAATCTAGACTTTCAAATATTTTCACCGCAAGCAAGGCACACTTCTGGCTTGGCTTTAGTCACAATTTCTCATCAAAACAATGGTTTACCTCTCTGAGATGTCAGGCTGGGCTTACTTGCGCATTCTGTGTGATGCAAATCTCTCTCCTGTAGGTAAATGCATACTTTCTGACATATGCTCCTCAGCATCACAGGCATATTCCCACTCCTGGGCCTTTACACATATATTTTTTTCTAGAATGTTCTCCAGATATCTACCTGGCTTGTTCTCTCATTTCTTTCAGGTCCCTTTTCAAGCATCACCTTCTTCTATCATAGTTAAATTCCCCTAAACTCTATCTGCTTTCCTTGCTTGTTTCCCCCCCCCACAGCATTTCACCATCTCTTAGATTAAATTTTTTTTACTTATTTATTTATTGTTTCCCAAACTAGAATGTAAGTTCCATGAGGGGCAGGACTTTGCTTTGTTTATTGCCATGTCCCCAGTGCCTAGAACAGTGCCTGGCATGCAATAAATATTTATTGACTGACTGAATCTCACATGCCCTAATGAATTAATGGTTAATCTAAATGCACTAATCTCACTCAGAGAAGGAGAGAGACAGTTCTGCTTTTCACTTTCCTATTAATCAGTTCAAAAATCCATTTGTTTTAGTGAAACAGGAGGTAAAAATATACACAGTTAAACCTGGTGAAAGAAAACTTAATGGATATAAGTTAATTTATATTTTAGAAATTTTTGTGCAGTGAGTAAAAACAATACTGTTAAAAAGAATCATCTTAAAAAGCCATGCTAAATAAGCCACAATAAGGAGTTAAGTTGATTTCCCATTGAAGCCCCTTCATCCCCTCTTAATGGAGTATTGACAATGTTTTAAGCATGACTTTGCCTAAGACTTCTAAAAATGTTGCCTTTGTAATTAAAATTCCATACTACTACTGAACTGCTGCTCTTTTCTATGGAGTAATTTTTGTCTCAACAAATTCTATAAATGCCTTGCCTGGCTGTGATTCAAAAGGAGCTGAAAGACGGGAAAGCTGGGGACAGACAATTTCAGCTTCTTCATCTGTTATGCTCATGTCATAACTGAACACTCTAATGGCTTGCAATAGTTTAAAAATAAAAGAAAAACAACAAACAAAACTGTGGCCCTTGGAACAAGCTGAACATTCAAATCAGACATATTAATCATCACACACACACACACACACACACACACACACACACACACACACACACACACTGCTATGATCTTGTGGGTAGGGGAAGGCCCTTGAACAAGAGACATAAGGGCTGGTCTGATAATTCATGTAGCAGCTCCCACTTACTTCATACAGATTGTGCTTTGAGGATGGCTTAAAGTCAAATATGTGTGCAATGAGTTCATCTCCACACTTACTCTTTTCTTTGTTGAAATGGAGCTCATTAAACTTAATAATGAGTCCCATTATTAAGTAACTAAAACTTGAAAAAGGTAAGCCTATATGTTTCCTACTCCAAGAAAGACTGAACTTAGCTAATCACTCAAGGGTTCAATAGGACAGATCTAATCAACCGAAAAGGGACAACCTTGGTAAAAATCAGTCATTAAATGAATCTGCTCAATAAGCACTCCTTTATTGGGATAATAAAAATAATACAAACTGCTTCTGTGAAAAGGTTCTAGGACCTTGAAACTCAAGTTCAAAATGAAATAAAATGCAAACTTCAAGACTTTACCTAACAGACCTCCTACTATGTTCTAGCTACATAACTATGTAAATATGTAATTGTCTGCAGTCCTGAATTCACTTTTCCCCCCTTCAGACTGATAAAACAGATTGATTGCTTTTAAAGCAGTATCTTTTCTCCTCTCTCATCCTGTGTGGAACAGAGATAATGGATAAGTGAGAAAAATCAAAGAAACTTCTGGATCCATCATAATGGCAGCCTGACCACCACACTAAGCAGCAGCAAATGGGATAGTCTTGGAAACATACCAGGCCTTGTTTGGTAGCTTATTGTGTCTCCAAAACTGAGAGGCACTGCATAACTCCTGACTTTTCAACAGTGGTGCTCAGAAGAAGTTCAGTTCTTCAGGAATGGATCTGAGAGGGTGGACCTCTGAACTTTCTCCAATTTGGCATCCCAAAGGAATTAGTGTTTTCCCTTCAAGGACTCATGGGCTCTCAATACTTACCACTGTCCAGAGCAGAATGTGGCCCACTTTCTCAGTGTGCCTTTTGTTCATTTGAGGGTGTGGACACTGGGCTTTACACTTGAAAAACTCTTATGATGAAATATGAGTGATCCAAGAATATTTCACCTTTTCCAAGCTGACCTCATTATTGAGGCCACTCTAAGGCCAGAATG